TTGCCCGACCGGACAAATGGCCTGATTAAAACATAAGTGACAAAAAATAAATAAATAACCAGCTTGGCATCGAAACGCGAGAATGATTCTTCTAATTTTATTAGCCTACATTCAATGTAAACGTATTTCTGGTATCACGGTCGCGCTGTTTGAGGCTCGCTCTGTTTGTCTCTTTGTGAGAGACTTCAGAACAAATGAGCGTGAATATTCTCACGACGCAAAAAAACATTCAAAACACATTCAGAGTGCACACATTACGTGAAGTCTGGTTTCACTGCATGATTCAGTCTATTAAAATACATTCAGAATGATCACAAATTCAAGACATGGGGGCAGAAAATGTATATATTTATACCACTTCATATAGTTAATCAATTTCACATAAAGAGACCGTTTTTTCTCCAAAAATTACATATATTTATACCACTTCATATAGTTAATCAATTTCACATGAAGAGTCCGTTTTTTCTCCAAAAATTACCATGATTACAAATGTGATATTGATTTTTTTTACAACAGTTCAATAAACTAGACGTTAATTAAGAGACTTACGTTTCAGACACCATATTGCCTGTTTTTGCACTATTTCGACAACAAAAGTAATTCATAACAAAGCCAAAGCGCTGTTTTGCATCTCTGAGCAACATGACGGTGTTTCGTTCTTGAATGAATCAAACATTTAAATGATTCGGTTCAATCGCAATGACTCACTTATTAAGAGTGATTTGCTGCCACCTGCTGGCTAATTCATAACAAAGCCAAAGCGCTGTTTTGCATCTCTGAGCAACATGACGGTGTTTCGTTCCCGAATGAATCAAACTTTTAAATGATTCGGTTCAATCGCAATGAATCACTTATTAACAGTGACATGATGCCACCTACTGGCGGTTTTAATTTCACATTTAAAGTACCTTTTTATTATTTAAATAAATTAAAATCAGTATTCAACGTTTTATGTTTAATATATCAAAACATTATTTATGCATTTGTAAAAATAGGCCTTTGTAAAGGTAAATAAAAACATGCAGATTTAAGTATGTAAAAGCTGATAGAACACTGATGAAAATATTGCTTCAGAAAAAATTGTTTGCACCACCAAAAATCTTGGTGATGCGGTACTTTTGTGGGGATATTTTGCATGGAATATTGTCTTCTGATATGAAAAGTTCACTATATATATTAGTAATAAATATGATTTATTACAGTGATGATATTTTGTTTTCTTTTTACGTTAAACACTAAATATTACATATATGTATGTAATATAAGCCATAAATAATACAATTATTGTCAAAAATGGGCAATTGAGACTTGGTCATTTCTATATCTTATTTACCTGATAGGTGGATCATCACATTTACAATACTGTTCAAAAGTTTGGGGTCGGTAAGATTCTTTAATGTTTTTTATAATAAAGTATCTTATGTTCGCCAAGGCTGCTTTTATTTGATTAAAAATACAGTAAAAGCAGTAATATTATGAAATATTAAGATAAAAATATATTTCAAAACTATTTATTTCTGTGATGGCAAAGCTTAATTTTTAGCAGCCATTACTCCAGTCTTCAGTGTCACATGATCCTTCAGAAATCATATTGATATTGCTGATTAAGAAATATTTATTATTGTTATCAATATTGAAATCAGTTGTGCAGATTAATATTTTTGTAGAATAATGATACATGTTTTTCCAAGATTCTATTCCAAGAAATAGAAAGTTCTAAAAGCACAACATGTTTTTGAAATAGTAATATTTTGTAACATTTAAATGTATTTACTGTCACTTTTGATCAACTTATCCTTGCTGAATAAAAGTATTATTTCTTTAAAAAAAAGTTACTGACCCTAAACTCGTGAACAATATAGTACAAGGCAGGGGCGTAGCCATCATTTCAGAAGTGAGGGGGACAGAAATGTTTATATATATATATATATATATATATATATATATATATAACATTAGAATATAACATTTCTGTAATCTATATAACCTACCAGTCAACAGTTTTTGAACAGTACGATTTTTAATGTTTTATAAAGAAGTCTCTTCTGCTTACCAAGCCTGCATTTATTTGATCCAAAGTACAGCAAAAGCAGTAATGTTGTGAAATATTTTTACTATTTAAAATAACTGCTTTCTATTTGAATACATTTTAAAATTATTCCTGTGATGCGCAGCTGAATTTTCAGCATCATTACTCCAGTCTTCAGTGTCACATGATCTTCAGAAATCATTCTAATATGCTGATTTGCTGCTCAAGAAACCTTTTATTATTATTATTATTATTATTATTATTATTATTATTATTATTATTATTATTATTATTATTATTATTATTATTATTATTATTATTATTATTATTATTATTATTATTATTATTATTATTATTATTATTAATGTTTTTTGAGCAGCAAATCAGAATATCAGAATGATTTCTGAAGGATAGTGTGACTGGAGTAATGATGCAAAAAATTTAGCTTTGAAATCACTATAAATTACATTTTAAAATATATTCAAATAGAAAATAGTTATTTTAAATAGCCTAGTAAAAATATTTCAAAATGTTACTGTTTTGCTGTACTTTGGATCAAATAAATGCAGGCTTGGTGAACAGAAGAGACTTCTTTAAAAAACATTAAAAATCTTACTGTTCAAAAACTTTTGACTGGTAGTGTATAGTCAACTTACATTTTTCTCTCATTTCTAGCTTTTAATTGGCTTAGAAATCAGATAACTGCTGGACAATAACCAATAATAATGATTTGTTTATATACTACAAACACTTTTTTATCGCATAATAAGGCAGAATAGTTTCAATACTGTAATAAATGCTATGTCAGTTAGCACTGCATTGTTCATATACTTTATTTATTATCTGGAGATGACTTGACAAACACAAATAAACCATATATTGTCGCAATCGTATGTTTAATGTCTTCATTGTTTCCAAACGTTTCTGTTTTCTGTGAAAACAACTGTTTTCATACAGCGATAGCTGGACGCATTTGTCCATATTAGGAATTTCCTCATACGACTTTCTGTGCACTAGACGGAGTGTTTAGCGCTCCGCGATGTTCATCTCGCCTTATTCTGGGTCCGAATAAAACATCAGATCATGCACAGACTATCCTGTCTCTTTGAATTTAAATATATATTTATTCACACCGGCTCTTGAAAACCTCTATGCGAACACACTTGCCCGAAAAAGTGCGGGGGACGAATTTACGTGATATTAAAAGTGGGGGGGACACGTCCCCCGCGTAATCTACACCCCTGGTACAAGGTAATTAGTCTACATGAAACCCAAAAGCCTATCTGTAACTGCTCAAAGCATCTGGATTCAGTCAGATTTACTGAATATAAACCGTTTGTGTGCCTTTCAATGCGCGCAGAACTTGCATCAGGCCTGACAACAGAAGACTTTATTTAAACGTTCCCTTTGATAACTCTAAACTTAAAACTCCTTCTCTACAGATACAGTCACACAGGGAAATTTGGCAATATGTCCTGTGTTATACTGAGTTACCTGTTGGCATGAGGAACAATGGCTCTTGATTATGAGTGTTGGTCAATTGCTGTAATCACTGCTGTACTTGAACAGTACTTGCATTACTATGAAGATTAACACTCGTCACACACAAACACAAAACACACACACATCCACAGAAAAAAACTAGTAGCTTTCACTGTGCATCTAGTTTTATAGACATTAAACAGATAAAGAGTTGTAACTGTGTATATGTGCATACAGGTCACAGCATGGCAGACACGCTCACCGTTGCTCTACGTGTGGCAGAAGAGGCGATAGAGGAAGCCATTGCTAAAGCTGAGAGCTACAGAGACAGTCTGGTTAGAGACTCCTCTTTATATATCATTCATCAAACCATCAGTTCATCCTTCATCCACCCATCCAAGTATCCACTTATCCATCAGGCTTTTATGCTTACATTCATCTGTTGTTCTGAGCACCCATATAAGGCTCCTGCATACAAATATCACTTTATTTTGCAGATTTTAAATGCCGTTGACTCATCCATCTCTCAGTTTAAACCATTACTCATGTTCCATAAATATCTTACTGCAGTTGCACTTTTCTCTCTCATGGCTGAAACTCTTTCTCTTTTATATGACAGGAGAAACAGAATGAGGCTCGCTATTTGCGTGACCACAAGGAAGAACTTATAGAGGAACTTGCCACAACAATTGTTCAAAAAGTAAGAGCTTTTTTTGTTACAGAGAGAAATACATTGTAATGTATAGTAATTTGACTGCATCCCAATTCACATAACTCTGCTTGATACTAAAAGATGGAGAAAAAAAAAGTTTCAGGTCAAAATTCACCAATAATAATAATAATAATAACATATATACCTTTCAAATGTGTCAGGGTCAGTACGATTTCTTTTTTATGAAATTAATACTTTGTACTGCAAGGACACATTACACTGATCAAAAGTGACAGCAAAGACATTACCAGTATAATGCTACAAAAGACTTCTACTTGCTTTTCTTTTCAGCTGTCTATTCATCAAGGAAACATGAAAAATGTATCACAGTTTCCACAAAAAAAAAACAAAAAAAAAACCGTTTTCAACATTAAAGAAATGCAAATCAGAATATTCAAATGATTTCTCAAGGATCCTGTGAAACTGAAGACTCCAGTAATAAAAAAAAAACAGCTTTTAATATTATAATAGAAAACCTTTATTTTAAATGTCTTATAATATTTACAGTATTACTCTTTCTGCGGTATATTTTATCAAATAAAGATTTTGAAATCTCTTACTGACCCTAAATCTTTGAATGGTAGTACATGTGACCATGATTTATTAAAGTGCCCCTATTATGGGTAATGAAAGGTTCATACTTTGGTTTTGGCAGTCCCCAACAATAGGTTGACATGCATGCAAGGTCAAAAAACACATTCATTGTCTTATAATATGCATTTATTTTTTTAACTTACTTGCTCAACGACTCCCAAACGATTCGCTCAACGATTCATTTTTCCAAACCCCTCCTTTGCGTGACGCTAATTTGCGGTGATTGGTCCAATTGGTCTCATTTTCATTTCATCATGCCTGTAATGCCTGATAAAGCGCGTTTGTGAGCGCAGTGCTGCTTTGTGTACAGCGTTACCGGGGAAACCGCTATTTTTACCACTCCAAAAGCTGCACCTAGTGGCAAATAATGAATTTGCACTTTCGTTCAGACTAACGCGAAAAGACCAACAAGTGGGCGGGCAATATGCTAATGTTTCATGTCTCAACATGAAACGGCTTGGGATTCGTTTTAAAAACGACTCGTCTCAATAATTCAGAGTCGACTCTTTCTTTTGAGAGACAATAACTTTATACACGATGTACTTTCAGATTTAAAATTTTGCAGGATGTTTTCATTCACTTAGAGCTGTGTTACACACTGCATGAAAGGTAATTTTCAAAAATCCATAATAGGGGCATTTTAAGAATTTTAAAGAAATAAGAAAATAAGGAGAAGAAACAGGGTTGCATTAATTTCATACAGTGATGTTTTTCTATATAGGCAATACAAACATACTACCATGATTGCAATTTAAATAATGTATACCATTAGTTTTCTTTACATTTCTTTAATGAGAATACGACTTGGCGTTTTAAAACTGCAAAAAAAACATCTTAATAGAATTAAAAATAGGCTTTATTTTCAGTAAGTAAAATACAATTTCCAATTTTTTTCTTATTGTGGTGAAATATGTACTGCTTATGTTCTTGACTGGAGATTCACTCATGTAATTCTTAGGTGATGAGAATTATCTAGTGAGTAATTTGTTCATGAGTTCATACATTTCAATATCTTGAGGCAGTATAACTCAAATTCCTTGACACGTCAACTTTATCTTGTCACAACCTCCACTGTAGCACAAAAAAATCTAGATGAAAATTAGCCCAAAAGCTTTGATAATCCATCTGTAGACATTTGGCATGCTATTTTCAATGCACAATGGTATGGTTTGAGACACATTAGTCATAATCTTGCATACTACACCATATAGTTTGGATATGAATTCCATATAGTGCGGTTGGGAATCAGAATGCAACTCTTACCCAGCTGTCTGTTTATCTTCTTTTTCCATGTCTTTCTCTGTAGATCATTCAGAGGGGAAAACGGTCTGAGATTCAGGCTGAGTATGAGTTTGTATGGCCTCAGAGTAGTGAGCTTCCTTCCCCTACCTCAACACAAAACACACACACAACGCAGCATTCACACTCCACCTCTCAGCACGGCGCAGTAGCACAGACTGACAGTACCAGCTCCTATCCGCTGTGGGTAAGAGCATGTTAAAGCTACCATAACATGCACCTAAAATACAATATTTATGTGTTTTGTAGTGCTTATTTTATATTCCTGACCTCATCTGTAACATACACAATTTCTTCTGCTGCAGCATGCAAAAACATAGTGTTAAAATCAATGTCGGAATCTATGAAAAGCAATGGCTGTACTACAAGAGAGAAGAATACTGATAAAAGCTTATTTGTCAATAATCACACACATTTTAGTGATATTCAGTATAGCTGCATTATAAAAGTTTCTAATGGGAAATCACAGTAAGTCAGTAAGGTATAAATGCAATTCTATAGCACCCCCTACTGGTGAAACTCATTTAATGCAACTTGCTTGCTTCCTACAGCTACAAACAAACTTTTAACTACAACCAAATGCAAATTGTGCATAAAAGAACAGTTTGTGCAGAATACTGTCAGACATGTGTAAATTATATAACATAATGATTATCACATAATTACTACAGGTAATTACTATTTTTTGAGTAACTCAATATGCACACTATTGTAAACTACTATAGGGTCATTCCGTGTCAAATCAACCAAATTTCAGAAACTTTCCCGAAATTTTTGATTTTGCTAATATTTTTCTGAAGAAAGTTCAGCATGTATAGTGACGAAAGCCAAAATATTAAATGTCATAGATGAATATTTACTGAGCAATCCGCTTTTTTGTAGAGGGGGGTCAAAATGCTAACTTTCACCTGAAATTCAGAGCCAAATTACAGGGGGCTAAAAATTACTTCAGAAAGATGACAGCATCATAATGTTACTTTTACACAGAGATTGGTAGGTCTATTAGTACAATCTGTTGACTTTAGCAATCATTGTTGTATTATGTGCCAATGGTGACCGTTCAAAAATGGAGAAAGAGCACTTTTCAAGTTTTTTCTCCAAAGTTTGCAGGCCTGTAACTCAACAAGTATCAAAGATATCTTAATGCCCTTTTAGGTTTTGGGTCTTAACAAACTTTTCTTTTGGCATCTTAATTTTTAAGGCCCTATATGGTTTGGTTCCAGAGATATTGGGATCTCAATATGGCTCCTGGGGTAAATCGTTAAATTGTACACATTTTCAGTGGTCAAAAACCAAATGTGGGTCAATTTGCAAAAATATGATACTTATTTTGTTTTAAAGAGAAATGTCTGAAGAACAAATAATGTTGAAACTAGAGATGTATCTCGTTTCCTTCTGTCAAAACAACTGAATTGAACATAACTGTCCGAGTGCCATAAATACTCTTTTTCCCAAGTTTGCGTGCATATAACTCAAGTAGTATTAAAGATATCGTAATATGATTTTAGATTCTAGTTCTTAATAAACTTTACTTTTGGAATCTTCATTTTCAAGGCCCTACATCATTCAGTCCCAAAGATAGGGGGATCTCAATGAGGCTTCATATTGTTGAATATTACCCATTTTCAGCGCTTGAAAACCAAATGTTGGTCACTTTGTATACAGCTGATACTTATTAGGTAACAAGGTAACAACATGCTATACATGTATGTACGTGTGTGTGTGTGTGTGTGTGTGTGTATATACATATATATACAACAAGCCAGAATTATGCTAGTAACATGATTAGCAACATGCTAACTTCATGCTAATTATGCTAGTTACATGCTAATCATGCTAGAAACATGATTAGCAACATGCTAACTACATGCTAATCATGCTAGAAACATGATTAGCAACATGTTAACTGCATGCTAATCAACAACTTGCTAATAATGTCAACAACATGCTAATCATGCTAGAAACATGATTAGCAACATGCTAGCTGCATGCTAATCATGCTAGCAACATGCTAGCTGCATGCTAATCATGCTAGCAACATGCTAATTTTCTAATTTATCTAAATTTTCAAACCTCAAGCTTTTACAGCTGCTTTAAACTTTTAGGCTAGGCTTTCTCAAGCCAACCTAAAGTTTGTCTTGACAAACTTTTTTTATCTAGTTGTATTTAAAGCAGAATATCTGAAGAATTCGTCAGATTATTGTCACGGCGCGGTTAGGAAAAACACCGTGTAAACAGGGGTCTGGGTCCAAGTGCAGGTTTATTGAACAGCCGGGGAAAACAAAACAGAAATCAAACAGAGCTAAGACTCTGAGACACAGGCAAGGAACAGAAGACTCTGACACAATACGGCCACGTCGGGCTTGCATCAGTCCCGTACAAACAATTCTTACAATTCTTACAATTCTTAATAATCCGCCCAGAGTGGCGTGGGGAAGGCGCATAAATAGCCCTCAGGATGGGCCACAGCTGTGTGTGAGTGAGTGTGTGCACAGGTGTGTGGAGTCAAGGTACCGGAGTTCAGGATGGGCAACAGCTGTGTGTGTGTGTGAGTGTGTGCACAGGTGTGTGGAGTCAAGGTAACGGAAAAGGAGTCCGGGAGGATGGGAAATGGCGACCTCTGGTGGTGAGAGGGAGAACACCAGACGCCAGACCCTGACAGGACCCCTCCCCTAAGGAACGGCTTCCAGAGGTTCCAGAGCGCCCCCCACCCCCAGGGGAATGGCCGAGCGGGGATGGAGTAGGGGGAGGGATGGGGGGCCCAGGTCCGTGTGGTAGCGGGGGACCTGGGGACTGGGGCAGAGCCGGTGGAATGGGCACCCAGGGCAGAACCAGCGGCCACCACAGCCTCGGGGTGCCAGAATGGCATAAGGGCTCTGAACGGCTCGGCTAGGCCACCCCAGAAACAGACCAGTGCGCAGGTCCTCTCCATCGCCGACTGGCGAGCCACTCCCAAGAAGTCCCTGGCGTACTCCTCAATGCCCCGGTCTCCCTGGTGGACATTGAGGAACCTTCCTGCTGGACCCATGCTTGGCGGATTATTCTGTCATGGCACGGTTAGGAAAAACACAGTGTAAACAGGGGTCTGGGTCCAAGTGCAGGTTTATTTAACAGCCGGGGAAAACAAAACAGAAAACAGAAATCAAACAGAGCTAAGACTCTGAGACACAGGCAAGGAACAGAAGACTCTGACACAATACGGCCACGTCGGGCTTGCATCAGTCCCGTACAAACAATTCTTACAATTCTTAATAATCCGCCCAGAGTGGCGTGGGGAAGGCGCATAGATAGCCCTCAGGATGGGCCACAGCTGTGCGTGAGTGTGTGCACAGGTGTGTGGAGTCAAGGTACCGGAGTTCAGGATGGGCAACAGCTGTGTGTGTGTGTGAGTGTGTGCACAGGTGTGTGGAGTCAAGGTAACGGAAAAGGAGTCCGGGAGGATGGGAGATGGCGACCTCTGGTGGTGAGATGGAGAACACCAGACGCCAGACTCTGACAATTATGAATGACCAGGATTAATTGTTAACTCTATGTAATGTATGAACAGTGTGAAATGTGAAATATTGTTACTTAGGGTCCCGTTTTCCTGGGGTTTAGAATTACCCAGTGTTAATTATTCCAAGTGTGAGAGATCTTAAATGTTTGAGGTAGCCTACTATCAGTGATTCTGCCAAATGTGCCCTTTAGCAGTAGATACTACTTAATCTGATGAAGCTTCACATTATATAACAATAAAAAAGAAAAAGAAAGTCTAATAATTATTCAAGATGAGGAAAATTTATGTGAATGCAATGTGTGGCAAAATCAGCCACTTTTCCCTAGGAGGCATGGGATTTGTTTCAAACATGTTACAAAACTGCATATCTGAACTCTTGGTAGCTTCAGAAGCTGTTAAAATGAACAAAATCCCTTCTTCAAAATATCCCTGAAACTGATTCAAATATAGAATCTTATGAATAGACTACTGAAAGAAAGGTAATGTGCCTCAGCTTGTCCATTTCAGTGTATTTTTAGCACTCCTGCAGGTATGTTTTATACATATTGTTTTGATAGACGGAAACAAGATACAATTCTAATTTCAACATTATTTATTCTTCAGACATTGTTCTTTAAATTAAATGAGTATAGGCTGTATACAAATTGACCAACATTTGGTTTTTGACCACTGAAAATGGGTAATATTCAACAATCTGGAGCCTCATTGAGATCCCCCTATCTTTGGGACTGAATGATGTCAGGCCTTAAAAATGAAGATTCCAAAAGAAAAGTTTATTAAGAACTAGAATCTAAAATCATATTGCAATATCTTTAAGACTACTTGAGTTATAGGCACGCAAACATTGGAAAAATAATATTTGTGGCCTTTGGACAGTTATGTTCAATGCAGTTGTTTTGACAGAAGAAAACAAGATACATTTCTAGTTTCAACATTATTTGTTCTTCAGACATTCCTCTTTAAAAGAAAATAAGTATCATATTTTTGCAAATTGATCCAAATTTGGTTTTTGACCTTTAAAAGTGTACAATTTAACGATTTACTCCTGGAGCCATATTGAAATTCCAATATCTCTGGAACTGAACAATATAGGGCCTTAAAAATGAAGACATCAAAAGAAAAGTTTGTTAAGACCTAAAATCTAAAAGGGCATTAAGATATATTTAATACTAGTAGAATTACAGGCCTGCAAACTTTGGAGAAAAAACTTGAAAAATGCTCTTTCCCCATTTTTGAACGGTCACCATTGGCACATAATGATATGAAGATTGCTAAAGTCAACATATTTTACTAATAGACCTACCAATCTCTGTGTAAAAGTAACATTATGATGCTGCCATCTTTCTGAGGTCATTTTTAGCCCCCTGTAATTTGGCTCTGAATCTCAGGTGAAAATTGCCATTTTGACCCTCCTCTACAAATAAGCGGATTACTCTGTAAATATTCAGCCATGACATTTAATAATTTCGCTTTCATCACTAAACATGTTTGTCTTTCTTAAGAAAAAATATTAGCAAAATCAAAAATTTGAGCCAGGGACCTCTGGTTGAGTTGACATGGAATGTCCCTATAATTAACCATCTGCCTACACAAAGACATTGACTGAATTGTTTGTAAATGAGATACCTGTATATTTCCATGCATATTATTTATTAAAAATGACAGTAAAAACAGTAAGAAACAACAAACAATGTCTATTATTATCGATGTTGAAAACATTTGTGCTGCTTAATGTTTTTGTGTAAACCATGATATATTTTTTTGTTTGACAAATAGAAAGTTCAAAAGAACAACATTTTTTGAAATATAAAAAAATAAATAAGTAAATAAATAAAGTTTTTATGCAATTTATTGCATCCTTCCTAAATAAAATAACAGATTTTTTTTTATCTTACAATAACGTATATAGTAATAATATATAATAAATTATTTTTTATTTTTTTAATTATTGGTTCACAGTTTCAATCATTTTAAATTACTAATGTTGTACATGTGGGTTGGTGGACATGTGTTTAGAAGTCAAGATCAGCATTCTCTTTGACAAGTGACGATTCTCCAGAGAAGGGCCCTGAGGTGGGCATGGCCCCAGGGGTCCCGGACAGCACTGAAGTAGAGACCGCTTTCCAGAACTACTCCTCACTCAGGAGGGAGTCCAGAGCATCATCACTTCCTGGGTGGAAGAGTGTTGACCGCCTGGACAACTCTAGTAAGAATACACATACATACACACACACACACACACACACACACACAGTAGTCATCATTAGAACAAAACTTACATATAGAACATGAATAAACCTTGATTTATTTGCGAGATGGAAGATTGTTGACCAAAACTTTTTGAGTGAACTGTCCCTTTAAAACAGAATTTTGACTGGGTGCAAATTAAGTCTACAAAAGTGACATGTTTAATTCTGTTTTGAGTGTCTATCAAACATAATTGCAAAAATAATTTCACATCTGGTTGGTATTTAAAAAATACACATCTAGAACTACTACTCAACTCGAAAATGAGACCTAGAAAATGATCCCCACATAGAAAATTGGCTTTTTCTCATTTTGTGATTGAATATGTGGTACACACACACACACACAAACACATCTTCTATATTTGTCTGTCCAGGTGTCTGTATCTCTTTCCACAGGTGCGTCTTCAGTCCTGCAATCCCCTGATGGTAACTGGATCGCCCTGCAGAGCTCCCAGCATTCCCGACCTAGTCTGCTGACCAAGCGCAAGAGTCTTGTTTTCAGCGTGCTGGAGAAAGAATCAGGCGTTGTGTCCGCGTATGACGAGATGGGCTCTGATTCAGATCCAGAGGACCAGGGGGGCTGGGGGGCTGCCCTGTTACAGTTTCGCAGACGTCTCTCCGATGAAACGTACTATACTGACTCTCAACACGACCCTGAATGGACATACACCCAACACCCACCCGTTACCTCACCTTCCTCAGGTCAGTACACCAACACAGAGACTCTGAACTCAGACTCGGAGACGTCTCTTGCCCCGTCCACTCGAGCCCGCAGACCAGCCCATGGTATGACGCAGAAGAAGAAAGGGCCGCCTGAAGCACACCTGTATCCACCCTACAGACATCCCGCAAACAGTGCCACTTCGCCTCTACTGAGGCCAGAGGTGCTGGATGTGAACTTTAACCCCCATCTGGGAGGGGACAGTAGTGACGGGGAGGAGCAGAGCGAGCAGGTCAAAAGATCACGGAGGCGCAGAAAGAGCAAACGCGAGACACCAGAGCACAGCCGAGCACATAATGCGCTTTACAGCGCTGCCACAGTGGTGAGAAGAACTACAGCCTTCTGGTTGATCAAAAAAAATCATAATGAGATTATTTTGGCACATATAGTGGTTGAGATTTTAAGGCATTACGTTTAAATTATTGAGTTTTCCTGTTAGTGGAAAACATTTAATACACTTCTCCTCCTCTGTTTAAAAATGTTACTTATTGACAAATTTTTTTCCATGGTAAATGTACATTTCTATACATTTCCAATTATATTCTTTAAAAACAACACACATGCTGCTTTTGTAGTATATTGACTTTAAGGTGAATGTATGTTTGTCATTATTTTAGATACTAAATAGAAAATGACAATTTTGGCAAGAGTAGCTGCAACAGAAACAGAAATTCTAAAATCATTGAAAACAAAAAGTAAGAAAACTTGTTTAGAATTCATTTTTGAATTTGAATGTGGTTTATACTCCAGTAGGTGGCAGTGCAGGACAGAGTCGTGCTTTTATTGGCATACAATGTGTGGATATCTTTTAACTCCTTTATGTCGGTCATAAAGTCTTTATTTTGTATTATTATTTTTTTCTCATCAATAATATTTGTCTCTCTCTCTCTGCTCTTCTCAACTGTCCCTCTCTTTAACACATCACATTAACAGGAGAACAGTGCCGTCCTCCTCAATGCCATGATGATGCGCCGGCAACAGAGCCAGGAGAGCCCAGTCCCCCTGAATTACCAGACTCCAGACACTGTGACCCCTCCTGACCTTTTGACCTCTGATGCCATGACCCCTGAACCTGACTATCAGAACACAGTGGCTCACAACTCTAGTGCCGCTAGCCCACCAATGCTGAGCCAACCGGGGGCCAGCAAACCAGAGTTAAGCATTCAGGGCCCTTTGCTCAGGGGCTCCTCTGTTAATGAAACCCTGGAACAGGAACTGAGATCCAAACTCTGTGAGCTGGTTGGCCAAGTCAACGAGAGGGATGTGATGTTATCTGATTTTGAGTCCATCAGGGAAGTGGGCGACAAGCAAGAGGACAGAGTAAGGGAGAGAGAAAGTGAGAAACTGAGACCAAAGGAGAGACGTGAGAGCAAACGAGACAAGAGGGAAGGAAAGTCGAAGGACATTGGGAATCCGAGTGAAAGACAAACAGTTAGAGAGATGGACACAAGTGATGCAGTAAGACAGATAAATATAGCAAGAGAAATGAAGAGAGATAGAGAGCGACAGAAAGAAATTGAAAGACAAGTAGAGAGAGAGCAAGAGAGACAAAGAGAGCTGGAGAAACACATTGAGAGGGACAGAGAAAGACAACGAGAGATTGAGATCCAGGTTGAGAGGAAACAGGAAAGACAGAGAGAAATGGAAATACAGCTGAAACAAGAGCAAGAGAGACAATCAGAGATTGAGCGAGAGATAGAAAAGAAAAGGAAAAGCATACGCATGGAAAAAGAGAAATTAGAGTCTATAGTGACTATGGAATTCAAGGAGGAAGAGAAACAGGAATCCTCAGGTAGAATATTGGAGCGAAATAAGAGTTTGAAGGAAGACTATGATGAAACCGAGAAGCCCAATGAGGAAAAGGTGAAGAGAATATCACCACAAAGAAGCCACTCAGAGACACGGTCAGAAAAACAAGAACAACTTGAGACAAAGACAACAAGGTCTTCAACCACGTCTCCTGACAGTGCCCCCTGTGGTCTGGAGGAGCCAATGTCTCCATCAGAGGTAAGCACTGACTCCGGCCTGTTCCACTAAAAGTTCCTACTTCACCTAGACTTTGTTTTAAACTCTAGTGAACTGCCTAACCAGACTCCAAAACAATTATTTAGCTAAAGCTGTAAACATATTGACAGTTTGAACAACTTGATTATTTTCAGACTGTTGCTGCACCATGGCCTTGGTTAATCTGAATTTACTGTAGTGTAGTTACTTATAGTGTCTTTTGCAGCAAAAGTAAGAATGTAATTTTAACACATTTTAGACGCTACAGTGTGTAACATTGTTGCATAAGGTATGTTTCAAGCCTTAAAAAAAAGGCTATAATGCGTTGTGAGAAGCTCATTATATGTCTGATGCAGTTGAGGGAAATATCCTTTGACCTATAAATACATAGGTGCCTCATTGGCTGCTTTGGCCCGTTGCTGAGATACAACTAAACAGGGGAGCTTTTCTAGATAAAAGTGCAATTATATTTACATTTCTTAACCAATTTCCTTGTACTCCTTCAGTACCGAAAAAGTTCTTTCTTCAGTTACTTAGAATCTCGTTGTTACTTGTCAAGCATAGATTTGGTTTATTTTTCTTGTTAAAAATTGTGAAGGCATCTCTAATGTAATATAATGTACTGTACATAAATTGTGCATAAAGTTGTTTTTTTTTTTTATTGTGGAAATGACTCTAGTAATTGACCATCACCAAAAAAAATTAATAGAACTGGCAAATGCAAATCAAATAGTAAGGTGTTTTCAGTCAGTATGCTTTCTATATTTTTATAGCAATGAAAGGATCCAGATATACTGTATTGCATGACAGACCATTACAAAAACAATTATAAGATATGCCTTTATTGATTTCAGATGTGAAGTTAAGGTGTTAAAGCATAAAAAGTAACAATAAGGTTTGTGCAGCAGATCTGTATCTGTATCACTATCTGTAGGAATCTTAAAATTATTTCTATCTGTAGCTGTGTCCCAATTCAGAGGTTGCATCCTTCAAAGGCAGCATTCGGCCAATTCAGATGCTCCTTCAGATGCGGCCTTGAATTGCACCCTTTGTTTCCCAGGCCATGGAGCATACAACTGATGGAACATTCACAGCCCAGACTATCCTAAGATTCATTGCACGTTGGTGACAATAGGATTTTTTTGAGAGAGAATGCCAGATTACATTTTTTGACACAAAACACTTGAAATTGGTTTAAATGTTGACATCTAAGATGTGAATTTATAGATAGTTTATACATTTTATTATATACAGAAATGAACCAAGGTGAACATATTTAGACAGGTTGTGAACCCTGTTGTTTTCAGACAAATTACTATCTGAGACTATCTATCTTTTAAAAAAGTACAAACATTACTAGCATGTAACATGTACAAAGACAAAGCCTTTTAAGTTCACATCTTTGAAAGGATGCAGCCTCTGAAATGAGACACAGCTTGTATCCAGAAATGGGCTGATCTTAAACCGGAAGTACTTCAAATTACATGGGAAACCCATTTTAAATGCAGTTCTGTTCCCTTCATAGTTTTCATTTAACAAATATGCCTTTTGTAACATAAAATTATTATTTTTTTAATAATAACATTTCTTATTTTTGTTTAATTAAACCATAAAATTAAAATAAAAACAAATTAAGTGTTTCTTTTTATTTAGCATTTAGTTTAATGTATTTTTTTATTCTTTATTTTTCTATATTCTTTATTTTTTTATTTTTCAGAGGAACTATGTGTAAAGAGTTATGTCAGAACAATCATCCACATCCTGAAATAAAAGGACTCTATAAAAATAGTTCATTAGAGAACATGGAATTTGAAAGAAAATACTCAGTGGTTGACATTTGCTAAAACTACTTTTATGGTAACTTAAATGCAAATCAATAAATTACAAAAAATAAATTACAGACCAGCTCCGGGAGAGAATGAGACAGAGAAACATATATTGTGTATCAAATCGTACAAGGTTTAAAACAGAAACTAAATAGAAATATCAAATAGTAAATAATGTGTATGATACAGTACCCTATTTTTAAAAAAAAAACAGGGTATTATCATTTGATGCCATCAGTGGATTGTGGTACAGGCAACTGTATATTTGTAAGAGCATATAGGTGGTTCACTGCGGTTTGGAATAGAGTCCCAGTTCACTCTCTGATGTGAATGCCAAGTGCCCAACTTTCCTAAAAAATAAACTGCACTCAGATGTTAAACTGAGACTTAATGTCATTACAAAAGTGGGATGAGTTTGTGGATCAATATCCATCGTTGATCCTAAATCAACATTCCTGTCAACCAATTTCAGCCCTACACCTAAAACCAGAGGCTAGTGATTGGTTGAATGTGGTTCCAGGAATATCAAAGGATGTTGATGTCCTACTTGTTTAAATTATGTGGTGTCTAATACAAGATGTCTGCTCCTCTAGATCCTTCCGGCACTCTTTCAAACCCTCAAACTTACATTTATTTTACTGATCGAACTCAGAATGAAGATCTTCACTCTCATTGGTGATGAGAAGCCGTGATCAAGCGCACACAGAAAAGCACGTCTGATGAAAGCCCAATTCTGTGTTGCCACTTCAGATTTGTATTGTGCATGAGGCAATGTGTGACGCATGAACCAGTCTGCAGAAATGAATATAGAACCTCTCTAGATGTTTTGAGAACATCTATAGGATGCCGACAAGGGAATGCACACAATAAGAGCAGCACTGTCTTCCTCTATGGATCCTCTTCCCCTTGCATCTGGCCCTGTCTTTTCATTTCCAGCTGGCTTCTTGTCCATTATATTAAAGGAATAGTTAAACCAAAAATGACAATTATTTCATCATATACTGACCTTTGTGTCTTTTCCAAACCAATATGATTACATACACAATACACAAACACACAGTGTACACACACACAAAAAGAAAGAAACTTTGGAGACTATCCATGCTCTTTATGACTCTCTTAAAAATGTGGTTCCATTAAGATGAAAAAAGTTTATTTTAAGAACTGTTCGCTGAAAGTTTTTTTGAAGAACCCAAAATGGTTCTTTGCAACTAAAAACCCTTTTGGAACTTTAATAAAAATAAAAAAAAACTTAAAACTTATATCTGACTAATTATGGTCCTTGAGTTCAGCTCACTGATTTAATGATCCAGCTTACAGAAGGTGAGGATTATCAGTGAATAATGAAAATTTTAAATAACATATGACTTTGAATATAGTTATACATTTGTGAAACAGTTGTGGTGCATTTGCATCCTTTTGGAAGTGCAGAACAGCAACCAGTACAATCCTCAGGACTTCTAATGTGTTCCATAAAAAAAGAATGAAAGTCATACAGGTTTGGAATGGCATGAGGATGAGTAAATGATGACAGAATTTCCATTTTGGGGTGATCTATACCTTTAATTGTTTGTCTTTCATTTCTTGTATCTTTCTTTCCACTACCTTTTCTGTATGTTTCTATCTTTTTTTCTCTCATTTGTCTTTCTGTCCGATCTCTCTCTTTGTGTCTGTGTTTCTCTCTTTCTTTCTTTCCACCCCTTCCTGTTGGTTCAGGAGGGTCTGAGTGACCGTGCCCTACAGCAGAGGCTTCAGTTACTCTCCTCTCTCTTACAGCAGGTGAGATACATCTTGATGAGAAGACGCAGTAGAGCTATAGAGATGCCTCCTGAATCAAACATGTAGTCCATTCATACTCTGGCCTCAGAACCTGCTCATGTCATTGTAGAGTCTGTTAGAGTCAGATACACACAGTGGGGAAAAACTTCCTTTAGATTTCTCTATTGAGAGCAGAACTTGATGTTGTTTAAAAGAACTGTTTTCTATTTTAATATATTTTAAAATGTAATTTATTCCTGTGATGGCAGCCATTACTCCAATTTTCTAGTGTCACATGATCCTTCAGAAATCATTCTAATATGCTAATTAGCTTCTTATTATCACTGTTAAAATCAATTGTGCTGCTTAATATTTTTGTGAAAGCCATGATACTTTTTCAGAATTATTTGATGACTGTAAAGTTTGAAAGAACAGCATTTATTTCAAATTATTTGTAACATTGTACATGTCTGTCATTTTTGATCATCAGCATTTGATCATCATTTGTTACTGACCCCAAACTTGAACGATAGCATATTTGTTTGCAAACCTGTTACGTACATATGGGACATGTCTAAATATTATGTAGAACCTTGAATCATATGTTTGTCCAACTAGAAGAATTAAACATCAAAATTTCAATGAACATATTTATGAATTTATAGTTAAAGGGGTCATATGATGCTTTTTTAAAGATCATTATTTTGTGTATTTGGTGTAACAGAATATGTTGACATGCTTTAATGTTCAAAAAACACATTAATAATAAAATGAAACATGGTAGAATGGGTCACAAGAATGCTGATTTAATTCAAATTAAGATGTCACTCAGTAAGGGTTGGATGGCATGTTGGCTTGTAGTTGGTAAATGGATGTAATCTGCTATATTTTGATTATTGTTTTACATAAACTTTGGCAGCTAGATTGAACATATTAAAATAAGTGAAATAAGTTCATATTGAATATTAAATAAGTGAACTTAGAGAATTTATAATATTTAAATACCAATTCAGCAACAAACCAGAACTATGATATTGTTTTATTGTTGCATCTCATACTACAGTTGTCAATTTTGTGTTAAATTATTGTTGTCTAACATGTCTAAAGAACATTAGATTTGTGTCTTTATTGCTTTAACATTTAGCCCATATAAGACACCAGTTTTCCCTACCAAATACCCCTTTTAGACAAGCATCAATATGTTATAAACATGCTCTGTTTTATTTGATTTTAAGATTTCAATATAGTGTGAATGTGATCTTTGAGTATCTTGAAATTTTCCATTGGGTGTTAGATTTATTCATCTCTGTACACCTATCTGTTTTCTACATGTTCCCTCAATATACAGGTCCATTTTACGCACACACCGACCCTTTCAGAGCTCGAGCCACTCATGCTCTGAGGACTGAGTTTGGATCAATTATTTCTATGATCAAAGCATAAACCAACCATTAATTGATTCCTCAAGTATTCATTACTGAATCACACTGCTCCTCTCTTTCTTCCTGTCTCTTTCATTCTCACGCTCACATCTTGAAAAGTCATTTTATCTCATCATATTACCCTCTCTCATGTGTGCTTACTGTCTTACAAACACAAGCACGCACATCAACATGTACATCCCATATTGATGGCTTAGTACTCTAAATGAACTCTAATGCCTGTTACACTTTGAAAAACTTATTGACAAGAACAAATTTACTTCTCCTTATGATGACGTGCGCTCTGGTGTTAGAGTGGGAGTTTCTGGCACAATGTGTCTTGACCTGTTATCTCTTATAGAAGTAGTTCTATAAAGAAGTAGTCCTTACAAACCTGGATGTTGTCCAATTTTCCTATGTTCCACAGATAAAATACATTGTAGTAAATATGGGTTTTGAACAACAGAGGGTGATTTAATAATGACAGAGTATTCATTTTCATTCCACTTGTGTACTGTATGTTGATGGATGTGTTACTCACTTTAAGACACCCTCAACGATGACCTTTCACCTCTGAGATGTTCAAGCATCTTTCATCCATGTGCATTCACATCACACTCTTCTTCTCCCATAATCGTCTTATTCTGTTCATTGATCCAACAGGTTGAGCATGACGAGCAATACATCCCAGCTTAATTAAGAGTGAGATCTTAGGTAGCTACGTGGAAGTTGTGATCTACCCAACATTTCAATATGTTTTGTTATTCTTTTATTAATGAATGTTTTTATGGCTTTTATGGAAATTTGTTTCAAGAGCACCTGATATGCATTTGAATTCCTTCAGTTTTGCATATCTATTTATCAGTGTTTTTTTTTTTCATCTGTTTTATGTGTTCTCTCATGTATATGGAGCAGAAGTACTCTGCTACATCTTTATGCAGCATCACCACAGAGGTTCTGAAGGTTCTGAATGCCACAGAAGAATTACTTGGAGAGGCAGAAGGCAAAGGTCATGAGTCTTCTCCGGCTAGCACACCCATGTCCTCAGGCCCAGGCAACAGGAAGCTGGACCAGCACCTCACTAAAATGGAGGAAAATGTAAGGTTTATTAATAGAAAATGTTAATATGTTGTTTTTGATACTTTTTTAAAAATTATAACCATTGAAACCTACTCTACAGAAAAATATTCGAAGCCAAAACAAATGATTAAAATATAATCTGGAAAATGTTTTTTTTTTATTTACTTTCACTGTTTTTCTACCCCGGGAGTACAGGTAAACCTGAAGAGAAAGATTTTCAATTAAATTCATAATAATGTTATGTTAATATTTAAATTCATAAAAAGTATAAATATTGTTACAGAACAGGTACTATTTATTATTTTTTATTATATTACATTGTTTATTATTTACATTATATGACAATAGATGACATATTATTAAAGATATTTTGGTTTTCAATATTTTGGTTTTATAACAATAAGAATTGAGAAATATATATATATATATATATATACACTGCCGTTCAAAAGTTTGGGATCAATACGATTTTAAATGTTTTTTAGAAGTTTTTTTATGCTCATCAAGGCTGCATTTATTTGATCAAAATACAGAAAAAAAACAGTAAAATTGTGAAATATTATTATTATTGATTTAAATATAATGGTTTTCTATTTACTTTTAAATAATTTATTCATGTGATGCAAAGCTAAATTTTCATCAGCCATTACACCAGTCTTCAGTGTCATGTGATCCTTCAAAAATCATTCTAATATGCTGATTTGTTATTATCAATGTTGGAAACAGTTTTTGATGCTTAATTTTTTGGGGGGGAACCTGTGATACTTTTTCAGGATTCTTTTGATGAGTAAAAAGTTAAAAAGAAACAGCACTTATTCAAAATAGAAATATTCTGTAACAATAGACACTACTGTTCAAATGCTGTATTTTGTATTCAGTATTTGTTATTTTTTATTTTTGTAAGAAATTAATACTTTTATTCAACAAGAATATGTTAAATTGATTAAAAGTGAGTAGAGACTTAAAATGTTAAAACACTACCTGGACCCCACTTTGAAAACCCCTGGTGTTAACATTTATGCGTCATGCAGTTCTCCCTATTCATCTGAGACATTCTGATGTCTCTCTGATCTAATTTTGTGATCATGTGAACTGTGTGCAGGTGTATTTGACTGCAGGTGCTGTGTACAGCCTAGAGGGGGCGCTGAGTGACTTAGAAGACTGTGCTCGCAGCATCAGCAGCTCCACCACAGAGACTGAACTGGCCTTCCTAGAAGATCAGGTGGCCACTGCTGCTGCCCAGGTGCAGCAGTCCGAACTCCAGGTGTGCGCTTGCATGTGACATAATACAGACCGGTCCTAAATGTGCTATTTAACTGTGTGTAAATTCAGAAGTTTATGTGTTCTCTGCAGATCTCAGATATTGAGGCAAGAATATCAGCCCTCAAAACTGCAGGTCTAAATGTATCTGCATGCACACGGTTTTCCAAGTACAAATCTAAACCTATGGTGAGTTTCGTCAGCATTACACTTTTTGAACTTTAAAGACACATTCAAATTTAGTGAATGAGTTTAGAATATTAGTGAGTTAATGTTTTTCCTGCATCAGCCCCAGACGCTGGACTCGTCTCGCCATCAGAGGAGAAAGCTGCCTGCTCCTCCTATCAGAAGTCTGTCATCAGGTATGAACACACATATACCGACATTTAATACTTTAAAAGGGATCTCATCCTTATGTCTCATGTCATTCTAAACCTGTTAGACTTACTATTTTCCATGGAGCACAACTAAACACTAGTGTAGAATGTCTAGAGGGCTTGTTTTAATAATAGAGACAGCAAATAAGACAAAAAAGCACTATAGCAGTGGTCCATAGTACTTGTGCATTAGAATCCATATCATTTAAAGCCATATGATAGCTGTGTGAGGAACAGACTGCTAAAACTTCCCCTGGCCTTCTGTATTTAATTTGAATATAGCATGTAAAAACATGTTGTGCCATGTTTCTTGTTCTGAGGTTTTCATGTTTCGTCACTGATGTGAAAGTAAATGGTGAAAGGGAGAACCTTTCACCTATTTTTTTTTTTTTTGCATTCGTTTTTTAAGGAAATTCCATGACATGTTCTTAGTAACGTGTGAAAAGCTCAGGCTGCTATTGAAGACCACAGTCACTGAAAACCTGTGACTGAATAAAATAAAATAAAATAAAATAAAACTATCAAAAAAAATAAAAATTCTAAAGACATTCAGTAATGTTAGTTAGTATTAGTTAATCTATAATTACATTTCTAGCTGTGTTTTGCTTTATATTTACTCTAATATTTCACAAGGTTGATATTACATGTCTAGTTGAGCTTTTCTAAAGCAAAACCTGCTTTCAAGCCATTCAAATGTACATTCAGTGCATATACAGTGGGTACGGAAAGTATTCAGACCCCCTTAAATTTTTCACTCTTTGTTATATTGCAGCCATTTGCTAAAATCATTTAAGTTAATTTTTTTTCCTCATTAATGTACACACAGCACCCCATATTGACAGAAAAACACAGAATTGTTGACATCTTTGCAGATTTATTAAAAAAGAAAAACTGAAAAATGCTCAGTATTTAGTAGAAGCACCCATTTGATCTAATACAGCCATGAGTCTTTTTGATGCAACAAGTTTTTCACACCTGGAATTGGGGATCCTCTGCCATTCCTCCTTGCAGATCCTCTCCAGTTCTATCAGGTTGGATGGTAAACGTTGGTGGACAGCCATTTTTAGGTCTCTCCAGAGATGCTCAATTGGGTTTAAGTCAGGGCTCTGGCCGGGCCATTCAAGAACAGTCACAGAGTTGTTGAGAAGCCACTCCTTCGTTATTTTAGCTGTGTGCTTAGGGTCATTGTCTTGTTGGAAGGTAAACCTTAGTTCCAGTCTGAGGTCCTGAGCACTCTGGAGAAGGTTTTCGCCCAGGATATCCCTGTACTTGGCCGCATTCATCTTTCCCTCGATTGCAACCAGTCGTCCTGTCCCTGCAGCTGAAAAACACCCCCACAGCATGATGCTGCCACCACCATGCTTCACTGTTGGGACTGTATTGGACAGGTGCCTGGTTTTCTCCACACATACCACTTAGAATTAAGGCCAAAAAGTTCTATCTTGGTCTCATCAGACCAGAGAATCTTATTTCTCACCATCTTGGAGTCCTTCAGGTGTTTTTTTAGCAAACTCCATGCGGGCTTTCATGTGTCTTGCACTGAGGAGAGGCTTCCGTCGGGCCACTCTGCCATAAAGCCCCGACTGGTGGAGGGCTGCAGTGATGGTTGACTTTCTACAACTTTCTCCCATCTCCCGACTGCATCTCTGGAGCTCAGCCACAGTGATCTTTGGGTTCTTCTTTACCTCTCTCACCAAGGCTCTTCTCCCCCAATAGCTCAGTTTGGCCGGACGGCCAGCTCTAGGAAGGGTTCTGGCCGTCCCAAACGTCTTCCATTTAAGGATTATGGAGGCCACTGTGCTCTTAGGAACCTTAAGTGCAGCAGAAATTTTTTTGTAACCTTGGCCAGATCTGTGCCTTGCCACAATTCTGTCTCTGAGCTCTTCAGGCAGTTCCTTTGACCTCATGATTCTCATTTGCTCTGACATGCACTGTGAGCTGTAAGGTCTTATATAGACAGGTGTGTGGCTTTCCTAATCAAGTCCAATCAGTATAATCAAACACAGCTGGACTCAAACGAAGGTGTAGAACCATCTCAAGGATGATCAGAACAAATGGACAGCACCTGAGTTAAATATATGAGTGTCACAGCAAAGGGTCTGAATACTTAGGACCATGTGATATTTCAGTTTTTCTTTTTTAATAAATCTGCAAAAATGTCAACAATTCTGTGTTTTTCTGTCAATATGGGGTGCTGTGTGTACATTAATGAAGAAAAAAAATTAACTTAAATGATTTTAGCAAATGGCTGCAATATAACAAAGAGTGAAAAATTTAAGGGGGTCTGAATACTTTCCGTACCCACTGTAGGTGTCTAGTATCTCTAGTATCCCAGATGTACTGTATAATGTTTGCTTCTTCATGGTACAGTGTTATTTTGTCTGAGGTCAAAGCAACAGTCTCAAACTCTGATTGAGGAATCATGGTCTTGAAAAACCAATGTTATTCTCCTCCCAGTATTGTTTAATGTTAAATAACTTTACATCTCTCTAAAGAGGCTACAATGCTCTCCCTGGAATTAGTCAAATTTTCAGAATCACAAAGATGCGCAAATCCTACATGCTTTATAGGAGCAGTACCCTGTGTGCTGTATGTGTGATGTGTGGTTTGAACCTGCTAACAACCAGAGGCAACAATTTAATGTGGTTCAGAGAAAAGAGCACCTTTTTTCTTCCACTGACATTAAGCTAGGGGGGGGGGAATCTGTTTTCACACCAAGTGACATTACACATTTTGATTTGAAAAGAAAGGTGGAATGAGCAACCAGTGAAAAGAGAAGAAAAGAGAAGAGGGTCCATTAGAGAAAAAAACATAGAGTCAGCCAGCAGTATTATCTCTTTTACTCCCTTATCTTCTCTTGCTTAATCTTCTTGCTAATTAACAGGGTTTCTCTTTAGGGCTGGCCATTGATATGACCATGATTCATCTTGATTCCTTTATTTCACATTAGCTGCAGCTTCAAAGGACAAACTTACTTATTCCAGTTCAGCCGTTTGCGACACAAATCTACCAATGGAAGGAGACGGTAACAGCTTGTATGAGGCCTGAAGTGGTTCTTTAGTCAGTGATGCATGTTGTAACATTGTTTGATAGCTCTTTTCTCTCAATACTCTTTTGTATAGTTGGGCAGATTTCATGTCCATACATGAGAAAGCTTATATGTTGACATTAAAGGTATAGTTCACCAAAAAAGGAACAATCTGTTTTTATTTACTCACCCTAATGTCATTCAAAACCAGGATTACTTTGTTATGTGGAACATAAAAGATGTTTTGCAGAATGTTTATGCTGCCCTTTCCTATAGACAGTGAGCTGGGGCTTTAAAAGTGTCCCATATGACCAATAATGTGTACATTTGTTAATCATTATTTTCAAATGTACTTTTAAAGGTGAAAATGTATTTTTATAAATGTCATAAATTATTAAATTAAATGAAATTGCACCAAAGTACATTTTACCAGTCACCTTCACATTTTTTACTTTATGACCCCTAAAGTATACCACAATGAATTTTGTTAGAAATTAAAAAAGAGAGAAAAGATCTACTCAAGCTATTGTTTGTATGAAATTGCATTTTTTATATATTTTCAATCAAATTAAAATATCTTGTCAAGACATTCTACTGGTAATTTAGAGATATGCCATTGTGTGTTCTTAGTTCATGTTAATTCATACTGCATTAACTATTATTAAAGCTTGTATACTCAACAACGCTGCATATTTGATTAAAAATACAGTAAAAACAGTAATATTGTGAAATATTATTCAAATTAATAGTTCTCTGTTTTAAAATAGTTTATTCCTGTCATGGCAAAGCTGTATTTTCAGCAGCCATTACTCCAGTCTTAAAGGAACACTCCACTATTTTTGAAAATAGGCTCATTTTCCAACTCCTCTAGAGTTAAACAGCTGAGTTTTACCGTTTTCGAATCCATTCAGCCGATCTCCGGGTCTGGTGGTAGCACTTTTAGCTGTAGCTTAGCATAGATCATTGAATCTGATTAGACCGTTAACATCTCGCTCAAAAATGACCAAAGAGTTTCGATTTTCCTGTTTAAAACTTGACTCTTCTGTAGTTACATCGTGTACTAAGACCGACGTAAAATGAAAAGTTGTGATTTTCTAGGCCGATAGGCTAGGAACTATACTCTCATTCCGGTGTAGTAATCAAGGAACTTTGCTGCCGTACCATGGGTGCAGCAGGCGCAATGATATCACAACTTTTCATTTTCCATCGGTCTTAGTACACGATGTAACTACAGAAGAGTCAAGTTTTAAATAGGAAAATCGTAGAAACTGCGCCTGAAAATAGTCCCCAGCTAGCGAGATGCTAACGGTCTAATCAGATTCAATGATCTATGCTAAGCTACAGCTAAAAGTGCTACCGCCAGACCCGGAGATCTCCTGAATGGATGCGAAAACGGTAAAACTCAACTGTTTAACTCTAGGGGAGTTGGAAAATGAGCCTATTTTCAAAAATAGTGGAGTGTTCCTTTAAGTGTCACATGATCCTTCAGAAATCATTCTAATATGCTGACTTGCTGCTCAAGAAACATTAAAAACATTTGTGCTGCTTAATGTTTTTGTGGAAACTATGAATCATTTTTCTCAAGATTCTTTGATAGATAGAAAGTTCAGAACAGCATTTGATATATACAATGTTTGTAAAATTATAAATATCTTCACTGTAACTTTTGATCAATTTAATCCATCCTTGCTGAATAAAGGTATCTTTTTTTATAAATTCTTACTGCCCCCAAACTTTCAATGTAGAAACTGACGTTACATTAACATTAATTATTGTTTATTTTTTTGTTCGTGCTAACTCTAGCATTATTGTATCTTATTGTAAGTGCATCGTGATGAAAGAATTTTCATTTTTGTGTAAACTGATCCTCCTATTGTCTATGACATTTATAAAAAGAGCTTATTCAAGATAATCAATTCATGTTAAATTAGATCATGCAAAAGTAAATCTCTGTGCATAGCTAAAAGAGCTAAGTGTTAAACACTTCTGCACATAAATATCATTATGAAAATGAAAAAAAAAAAGTAAAAGCAAATTTTCTAAGAGGTGTTTTGAATTCCTTCCACACAGAAATGGAAGTCAAATCTGAGCCACAGATGAGATCTATGAGGCTGTGACAAGAGGCCATGTGACCTCAGTGATTCTCAGATAAGCTGTATGGCTCAATATCACTCCGCAGTGAATGCTAGGACCATCAGGCTGTTCCACACCAGTGCCTTGATGCAACTTCCGGTCCTCCAATTTGATCAGCCCTAATGCTACTTGTCGACCCTAAGCCTGATCACAACCCATGTAGGGTTGATCTCACTTCTGACCCCTAGGACTCTACCAAACCCTGGAGCTCATCACCTCCAGTAACCAGGGGACCCGATTCTCTCTCTCTCTCTCTCTCTCTCTCTCTCTCTCTCTCTCTCTCTCCCCCTCACTCGAGATCACATTAACATTAGATAATGCACTGTGAATTAACATGAACATTTTGAGAACAACTGTTTTTTC